GATTCTCACATCCTAGCCGTTCATCGTATATCGTACGGTTAGTTTTTGTTAGGTACTATTTATGTTTATTTTAAATAAAAATTCAAAATTATTTCTGAAATCATGATGTACGATGAACGGTTAGGATGTGCGGATCCTTATGATTCCCACAATTTAGATCTGGATGGAATCCAAATCCCTAACCTATATATCATATATATATATATATGTATGTGTGTGTATTTATTTACTTATTTAGTAGCAACAGACTATTTATAGCTGTGTGGTTGTACTAAGATGTGAGAGAATTAATTGATTTCGAACTTATCATTACTACGAGATTATTAAAACTTAAGACTTTTACTTTCAAATAAAGAGAAATATCATTAAACTATATATATAGTACTAAGTGAAATTATAAAATTCTAATAAATTTCCTAAATATAAAGCATGTCAGTTGTATGGTAGTTGATTGACATCATCTATGACGGTGTTTTTCATTTGGTCAAATGACGGTGTTAGAATTAGAGAGAAAAATTCGTCAACTGGGGCATGCATGCATAAATTTAACACGGCTCTTGCAAGTGATTAAGGGTGAGATGTGCGCCCACAGCCACAGGCCCACAGGAATACGGAAGTTTGAAGCAACACATCTCTTGTCCTCAGCCTCAATGCATTTTGGTTGAATGGATAATCCTGAAACTTGAGAGAGAGTTGAGAGTTGGCTGGAGGCCCTGACGCTTTGTGCACACGTTTGGGATAATACTTGGGTACTCCCTAGGGAGTACCTAACACACTGACCATCTTATCAATTAACGACACGTGTCCTTTTTAACTCACACACCTAACTAAAACTAGTTGCCAAAAACGGTCACTATTTTAATATCCAAACATCCTTCTTCTCCCTCACCAACCTTCACCGGAATGTCCTCTCCATAGTCGTCATTGCCAGCCGGAAGCCCACCCCTTCCACCACTTTCCTCCATGCATCTCCTTCTCTTTCTCTCATCATAGTCTACAATTCTGAATAAACAATTTCAAACTTCCAATCTTGTGATCTTTCACGAGCTCTAATCTCGAGGATTTTCAAAACCCAATTTTACCAAGTGGGGGTGGATTCGGAAAAGATATAGAATGCGGATGGATCGCCGAAAAGGAGACGGAGCGGGGGTGGGTCATCGGAGAAGAGGGGATTGAGGATGAGTGGCTAGAGAAGAGACGGAGAGGGTTGGGGTCGCCCGAGAAGAGGCGGAGTGCTGTGGGGTTGTCGAAGAAGAGACGGAGTGTGGTAGGAAGGTTGGGAAACGGGGGAGAAGAAGGGTGTTTGGCCGGTGAAATAGTGAATGTTGGGCTATCAAAATAGTGATGTTCGATGAAACTCAAAGATTGCACTTTGTTCTTTTTACAAAATCCTTCAATTTTTATCGATCATTATTGGAATTTTGGCTTAATTTATTGTCTTCAAGAGTTATATTGACGAGAGATAATCTAATATAGGGTTGAGAAAAATATTGGACGGTCGAGATTAAATCTCAACCAATCTAACGATCATTAATTTTCAAAATTTAATTTAAATATATAAATATTATACACACACATTTATATTTTAACTTTCAGTTCAGTTCGGGATTAAATTCTTACTGCTATTAATTATAGTATTTTTTTGTGGTATAAAATTATTAAATTAATATTTTTCTTATCGTGTAACGGGTTATCCACGTGTATATCAGGACCCACCCATTATCTTAGCATGTGATTATCAAGTTACCCGAGGAAAACCTGTTAATTTTGTGTTGTTTCGTGTTGGGTTAATGGATCATGTCAAAAATTGCCTAGCCTACCTCATACTCAAGAGTAATGTGTGTGTATATATATAATGGGTGGATTCGTATCACTATTTTTACACAATTTTTTACACACGTTTTTTTATGGACTTACTCCATAATATATTTTAACGAGCAGCTCTTTTATGGCTCGATCATTCTCGGCAAGATTAAACAAACTTTAACCGCCGATTGATTACTTGTTGCCCCCTTATTTTCTTATGCATCAGCCTAAAAAGCCGAATGGTTGAGAAAATAATTTATTCAAATTTATTTATTTTTTTTTTTAACAAAAGAAAAAAAAACGAAAGTGGCCGAACTAATAAAGAGGAGGAGGCCAACGATGCTGCTTTATTCCAAGCCGAGATTTTTTTCCATCAAAATTTTCAAATTGATTTCGCTCTAGGCCGAATAAAGAATTTTTCCCAAATATTTTTTACTCGGCAAAATATTTTGCATTTTCCGCCGCCGAATGGGTGGAACAATTATTATGCCCCCCAGGCATAATTTCGGATTTTAATTCAAATAACTTAGCCGAACAGGATTTCTCCATATCGGCTTTCTCGCCAATAATCATATCAATCGGCGTAGTCTCGGCGTCTAAAACCATGTCTCCAATTACCATATCAATCGATGTGGTTTTATGATCTGAAGTCGTGTATCGATCTTGTTCGTCATTGGGATACTCCTCTGACGAATCATTTACCAAGTTGATTTGTGACTCAGAAATTTGAACTTTTTCTTCTAGGCCTACCACACTTTCAGTCTCAACCAAAAAAAAAAAAGGTGGCCTTTGTTCTTCGGCTAAATTAACAATTTTCTTAGGCCGAATATTGGTTGTGGCCGGAGTGGAAATTTGCCCCCCGGCCTCTTGCCTTTCAGAAATTCTTCCCAATCTCTTGAGAAGTTGTTTTTGCTTATTTAATAGGCGATGACACTCATCCCATGAAGCCTGATCGAGATAGATCATGTGAACTTCGTAGTTTTAGCACTGGGTCCCACCAGGCATGCCCAAATGTTGACCCTAAAAACTACTAAGCCTACGTGGCACGCAGGCCGAATAATCTATAAGCTAACTACGTCCTTCGGTGAATGCGGGGCGTGCCAACTCGTCGGCCAAGCTCGGCCGAGGAGTAAAATTTGTTGATGTTGCGTTGGGTCGCGCTACTGACTTCTGTGTCTTGCGATTGCGGCCGAGAAAGGAACACGTCTCGGCCTCTTGGATTCTCGAGCCTGAAGACAAGGCTACTATTCTTACGAAGTTCACGAATCAAATTCGGCTTTCAATGTGCCGAATGTAATAACTGTAACACCTCACTTTGCCGAGAAGGCTGATGAGATGACCTCGACCAATAAGGATTCAGGAATCCTTCTCGACCGAGACTTGGATAGGTAATCGACTGTCCTCGCCGTAGTGCTGTTGATGCCAATGGAAGATGCTGTGAGACTGACTGATTCTACGGTGACAGAGCTATCTATGCCGACTTAAGATATCACCAGTTGCTTTCACAGTGCTGTTGATGCCAACGGAAGATGTGTCAGCAAAAAGAGGAAATGAAAAATCTCAAAGTTGTTGAGAGAGTTTGCGCATGGCAGTTTTGTGTTAAATTGCAGGGGGATTCTTAGCGTTCAAAGCCTTGTATTTATAGAGTTCTTAATGCTCAGTCGCCGAAATAGATTTTCCCAGTTCCACTCTAACTCTTCTACATCCGGATATTGTGATAAAAACCCTTTGATAATATCACTTCGCCTTAGTCAAAGTGTCAATGCCGTGCTCCAATTTGTATCATTATCTTAACATATTAATTGGAAAGATAATTAATTGGAAAGACAATTCACTTCCCAAAACAATCACCTTACTTTTCTCAAGAATCCGTATCCCCCACACGTTGCAGATGCCTATCCAATTTGCAATTCAAATTCATCCCATCTACAAGTTACCCATGCATACATGGAGACCACGTATCCTAACAATTCTGATCAAATTGTATTGCCACCTTATCACCACCACATGTAAAATCTTTTCCATTGTTCCACGTGGCTTTGTACGCGAGTCCATTCAACCATAGACCCTATGCAGCCAACTAGATACCAAACTGACATCCATCACCTAACCTTATTGGATTTCCTATTCACCATTATCTTCGGCTTGCACATCCATGTTAGGCCATGTGAAGAGTCCAAGAATTTGTATAATTTATTTTGTATAAGAAAATTAAGATAATTTATTAAAAGATAATTATTATGATTAAGAAAGATAATATTATCTCTTAACAATAGCAAATTATCTTAACTTTTTTATCCAACGATTAAGAACCATGCTTACCCAATGGCCTCGATCGCTTGGGCCGATGGTGTAAAATCGGGTCCAAACACACACGTTTTTTTATGAACTTACTCCATAATATATTTTAACGATCCACACAATCTATCTTTTAAAATATCATTCATCAATTATCCTTACAAAAAGTTAGACAAATCCAAGCCATGAAGACGTTCATTTGTAATAAAGAAAATGAACAACTACTTTTCACTTGAAACTTTAATTCAGCTTTCTCGCACCTCATATATATCTCCTACCAAAGCTTTATCAAACACCATAGTAATTAAAACTTTTTGAACAAGCAGAGTGTTGCAGAAATTAAAAAAAATTAAACTAACTAAAATCAATCCAATTTAGTTTCAAATTTTATGCTTGCAAGTGTACGAGTATAGAAAAATACTCAACAAGAGCAAAAACTTGAAAAATAATTCACTCAAGGTCTTAAGAATTCAAGATCATAGTTATGTCGTAGCCCTAACAATAAAAGTTAGTTACGAATCATCATAGAAAACAAATCTATATCATTCATGAAAAAGAAGAGATTAAGATTCAAGAAAACCCTAAAGTCTCTCCTCTACCGCACCTCTTCCCTTGGTTCTCGATATCCTCCAATAGCCGCAGCCAATCGTTTTTAACTTTTTATATAACAGCCGAATACTCCTACTTTGTAGGATAGGAAGCCCTACACGCCAAAGCCCATAAGCTCCGAAATTCTCCGTTGAAAATAGAATCGCTTCAAACTAGTAAGTCCTGAAATATTTGAACCCAACTCCTATGTTTCCTGAGCGGCCGTCTAAGAAGAGTGTTGCCCTTACAATACGGTTCGAACTCTATCAACTTTCTAATATAACAAATTTATCGTTTGATTACAAAAAAAAAAAAAAAAAAAAAAAAAAAAAAAAAAAAAACTGCTATGTATCCTTTTTCCATTCTTGGCCGAATTCGCAGCTACAATTTCACCAAATTGATCGCCGTCCCCTTTGACAGCTGACCAAAACGCACAACAACTAAAACTCCCCAATTTGCAAAACGCACAACAACTAAAGCGGATGTTACATCTCTCTAGTTTTGGTTCAGTTGAAATCCCACTTTTAGGTCGCTGACCGCTTGGAATTTAGAAAGAAACGTCACCCTTTCTTCCTTCTATTTTGGAGCATACAAGAGTGAACATCACATGTTCTGTAGGTATTGAGATGGTCACGTGGAAGCAAAACAATATGGCCCATCCAAATAAGGATTTGAATATTAACAGCTATTTACCACGGAGAACATACTTAAAAGTTATGAAAACAAAATGAATTTAGATAATGGCCACATATTAATTCAAAAGATTAAAGCTCCAACAACTCACATTTTGACTAGAAATTACACATATATATTATGAGCGTTTCCTTCTCATTATCTAGTCATAAGGGCACAAATCCATGTAAATCATTTTATTTACATTCAACATATCATCGGAAAATGCCAACTTTCAGATTAAAATAGATAGTAAAATACGCACTCGTTGGGAAGCATCTCCAAATAATCAAAACCTAAACGGCACTTATTCCCAAATTATGAAAATTTTGAAAACAATAATGCTATTCTTACCATATTTTTGTACCATAATTGTATACCACCTTAGGTGACATCTGATGTGGACAGACACATCTTCTAAATTAATTAGCATTTAATTTCAAAATGTGGATCAATAATTAATAAAAAGATTGTTAATTAAATGATGATTGTAGTATACGAGGAGTCTCCTTCTTCCACCTAAGATTATTTAAGTGTTTTAATTAATAAAAAGATTGAAATTAAATGATGTAACTTGTTCAACTCATCTGCCACATAAGATTGTAATAAAATGTGGTATAAAATTGTGGTAAGAATAACATTACTCTTTTAAAAAGGGACTTCCAGTTGAACATATGTACTAGCAGTATAGTAGTAATTTGTGTTTTTTATTGGGTGCATTAGTGATTAGTGTATTTGAAAAGTTATTGGCCTCCTATAATTTAAAATAAATGTGTGGTATATTGTAAGTTTTGATTGAATTAAATCAAAGATTCCTAATTTTTATACGACGTTTTGAAATAATTACACAGCAGAGAAAGAGAGTTTATCGTTGTCAAGTTAATTTTTATGTTTAATTCCTTATAAAATGGACATAAGTTAATTACAAGATTCTCATAAGAAGTACAATTATATATTTGCTTAAAAAAAAAAAAAAAAAAAAAAAAAAACCCCCTACTCTGACAGTACATAATAACTTCATTCTCTTTCTTTCTTCTTAATTTGTTTGTTCAAAAAATTGCATTTAACATAAATACTATAGCAGGTAAACTTAATTTGTATGAACACATTTTGTATTTGGTCATCTGGGATACAGAGACATACCAAGACAAGGACAGTTCTTCCACTCCTCATAATGTGATTTAAGGATTTCCCTTGCTTTGTCTTTCAGGTATGGAGCACAGTCAACTTGGAGCAAAGTGCAAAGCTTAGGCACAGCTCCAACCTCCAACATCTCCTGAAGCACCGAGTTGGTTCCTGAGTACTTGCTTACCATAGAAAGGATCAAAACTGCTCGGTCATTAGTTGTTGGAGAAACCCTAAGGAGTCTCTTTGACACAACAGAGATGCCTCCTTTGTGACTAATAAACTGAGCTCTCCCATCAGCACAAGAACACAAATGAAACAATATACCAAAAATGAGCTCCGTTGTTCTCTTTTCTGGAGCACAAAATTCAAGCTCTATGAGCTCGTAAACAGCCCCAGCGTCGACCATCTTGATTCGATTTCTTCCCCAAGGACAAGCGTCTAACATGACATGTAGAGCTGCATTCACCCCTTGTTGTGTGACCCCATTTCTCAAAATCCCAACAAGTTTCTTAAAAAAATTACGGTCTAGGGTTTCTAGCACTGTTGAGTTTGCCTTTTGGATGATATATTTGAGCACCAACACCGCATGCGTACTGACCGCGATTTGATTCTCCGTTTCGCAACCAAAAACCCATGTCAACGAATTGATGATCTGATCGTTTTCCATAAAGAGACGGTTTAATTCTTCGGAAGAAATCCGAACAAAGTGAAGTATGCTAAGGGCTTCTTCTAGGCCATCCACCTGGCCGTTCTTGTAACATATGTTTGTAATGAATAACAACATGGCCTTAGCCACGCCGGCTTCCACCATGTACTTCCTATTCCCTTCGTTTTCCACCGCGAGGAACTCCAACTTTCGAATAATATTCAGCTGGAGCTGAGGGTGCCAAAAGTCCTTGAGGAGCTTGAGGACTTGAGCCTTGTTGAGAGGTGGTTTCGGAGTTGGTATTCGATCAATGCCGTAGGAGGCATTGTCAGTGCACCACGCCTGAATTAAGCGGCGCAACGTGTGGTTGGGGGTTAGTTCGGAGTCTTTCGGGAGCGGCTGTTTGGTGGCAGGACATGTGATGTTCTTGCTCTGGAATAGCCAGTGCTCGATGCTCTCCCGGTCATACGTGATACCTGTAATGGTTGTCACAGGGTCTTTCATGATCTGAAGAGATATTGGGCAGATGAAATACTGAGGAACTTCAATATCATCCATGAAAAAAAAGTGGTTGTATAATTAACAAATGACAAAATTTGATGGAGGGGATAAGAACTAAGAAGCTGGAAATTAGATTAAATGATAAAGATATTGATACATTGTGTGGAAGGAGGGAAAGTTTTGTTCTTGTGAGAGGTGGTAAGAGTATGCGGCTATATAATTAACCAAGGTGATGAGAGAGAGAGTAGTGGTATTTCCATGGAGTCGTCATACATCTATATATATGGAGTGTGATTGGGACAATTATACTAGCTAGCAGGTAATACGAGTCCATTCTAAGGCCAGCGTTGAGTGGTCAAAAGGAAGAAAAGTGTGGCCAGATGTTCAGAGCTTCAAATTAAACGGAACACGGAATGGTGAGGAGCAATGGACTGGGACCTTTAATGTCATTCTCCTTTTTTATTCGAGTCAAATATATATGGGGATACCGGGAATATAATATTTGTATGAAAACTGAAACTCAACCGACTTGATATTAATAGCTTAAAATTATTTTAGTTAAATAAACACCACAACTAATTGATATTTGTGATAAAATTTTGATATTTAATTATGACTGATTCAATATATAAGTTGTTTAATTACCATTATTCTTGTAGTAAAACATCGTTCAACACAGAAGGCTTCATTAGACCAGCAAAGTAAAGGAAAATGATAGAATATGGTTTCAACTAAGCAATAACCATTATTAATTCTTGGTCACAAAAGGCTTCTACTACAAATTTCCGTAGTGTAGGATCGCATTCCAATCAGTTGGTACACCTCATGGTCGACATACACATAACAAAATCACTAAACTTCACATGCCGATGTATAACCCTAATCATGCAGTTTATTGATTGTACCTGGTCTAATTTTTTTGTTTGAATGTGGGATCTATTTTTATGATTTATATTTAATAACTCACACCAGATTTGTTTTCTATAAAGTACAGTATATCATGTTCACCAATCATTATGTATATACAAGGTTCTAAAAGACGCTGGGTGCTAGTCGGACGGCAAACTAGGACCTAGCGCCTAGGCGCCTAAGCGGTGGCCTAGCCGGACTAGGTGGATTTAAGTAAATCTATTATATTTCGTGTAAATAAGTGTCTGTTTATACTTAAAATATATATAATTTCATCATAAACTACAAAATAGAATGACATATATATTATGAAGTATTGGAACATAATGAAAATATGGGGAACAAGCATATAATGTGTGTTCATTTAAGTATTCAACAAGTCACTTACAATTTATTGAAAAAAATAAATTGCAAAATGAAAGTTACCTGTTTTCTGTATAAGTGATTCGTAGCCTAGGCGGGTATGGGTGGGTTAGGTGAGTGCCTAGGCGCTCTAGGCAGGTGTCTCAGCAGGTATAGGCACCCTTTCTTAATTTTCGAACGCCTAGGCATTAATTGAGACTGTGGTCAGCCGCCTAGTGCCTAGACGGGAATTTTTAGAATAGTGTGTATATACAAGCTTGTAACTATTTCATACTTTAAAATATATATAATATAACATATAAATTAATAACACCAAATTATTTGTCCAATATGAGAATTTCTCATGGTATATCCCTTTATTTTATATAGTACTACCCTCTTGCCATAGACGTACTTGACTTTTTTCTTTTAATTATTTATTTTTCTGTTTGAAAAAATATAAAAAACGAAAAAGCAAAGCAATATATTATTATTTATAATAAATAATAAACTTATTACCTACGCACAGTCCCGCTCTTTGGTTGTTTTTTTTATTTATATTTTTTGTGAATTTGTTTTTCTTTTGAAATCCTAATGAGAGATGGGCAATTTTAAGATTATGAAAACTTCATCATATTTGCCTTCTTCCTTTATATATATAAGATCATTTTAGTATTCTCTTTTAAGGATTCCACCCAGTTGTAAGTATCCCAAAACGGAACCAAATGAGTTTGATTTGTGGACGTAGTTCAAGGGATAAGGTTATGACATGTAGTGACATACATGCAGAACACGAAACTTCCTAAAGCGAGAAGCTCCATTATCTAGTCAAAAAGGTCGAGTCACCTTGAGGTCCTTGCATTAAATGATCATCTACTTAGTAAATGGATACTAGTAGTCTGGTACTGGTTGAGGCTACACGCATATCACATTCTTGCCTCATTGTAACTCCCACCTCCCACTTTATTAAATTCACATTTCACGTTCCATGTTGTCATTTGTTTAATTTTCTTTTGTATAAAAAAAAAAACAAAGAAAGAAAGAAAGAAATGAAAAAGAGAGCTTCTTCATTGCATCAAGTCGTTTGCCATTGTTTGTATTCAAGGCAGAAGAATAATGTCTTTCCTCATTTAGAATGTAAAAAGTATATCCCTTGATCCAAAGTTATTGAAAAATAATATACTGCTTTATATTAATGTTTGGGACCAAAATATTATTTTGGGCTAGACTAGAAGTTGTTCTCGGCCCAATAATATTCTTCTAGAATTATCATGGGTTGTCCAGTCAGGATCGGCCGAATCCTATTGCAGGATGGATTGGTTTAGATAAGGATGGAGTAGTTGAGACCTAGTGCAATGAGGAGTCTTAAGAGGCTAAGGATGCTGAGACTTAAGGGATGAATCTGGTTTGATGATTAGCTCGGTTCAAAATCCTTTTGGAGTTAGGACTGGTCAAAACCTAATCAGATTAGGTTGAGAAGTTCTAATCCGAGTATGATTTTAGCCGGGCTATGAAGGGTTTCACTACTATAAATAGAGGAGGGAGCATACATTCAAGCCTCTCAAATTCAACACAAAAACTGCCTTGCATAAACTCTCGCTCTACGCGAAACCTCTCAACAACCTTGAGATTTTTATTTTCTTTTTTCCGCCAACACATCTTCAGTTTGGATAAACAGCACTGTGAAGGCAACCAGTGACATCTTCAGTTTGGATAAATAGCACTGGAGCCATAGAATCAGCCGATCAAAAAGCACATTCAGTTTGGATAAACAGCACTGCTTCGAGACCGACTGGTTATTTATCCAAGTCTCGGTCGACAAGGATTTTCGAGTCCTTGTTGGTAAAGATCATCTCATAAGCCTTCTCGACGAAGTGAGGTGTTATAGGTTATTATATTTGGCACATTGAAAGTTGAATTTGATATTTGAACTTCGCAGAACTAGCAGCTTTGTCTTCAGGCTCTATAACCCGAAGGCCGAGACGTGTTCCTTCCTCGGTTGTAGTTGCGAGATCAAGAAGTCAGCAGTGCACCTAATCCACATTAACATATTTTACTCCCCGGTCGAGCTCGGCTGACGAGTTGGCATGCCCCCGCACATAACTGAATGATGTAGTTAGCTTATTAATTACTTGGCCTACACGCCACATAGGCTTGGTAGTTTTTAGGGTCAACATTTTGGCATGCCCAGTGGGACCCAGTATTAAAGCTACGAAGTTCATGACCATTGTGACACGATCATTAAAAAAGAAAACAGGCATAGGAAAGTCAACGACCAACTTTTCAGTCTAGAACCCAGGCTAAGATTACTTGTTACAAACACATAATCCTTATGTTGCCATGACACCTGAGGCCACAAGTGCGACATGCTGAGAAAATGAAGTTAGTCTCGGCGATCAGCCTTATGGTGTAGAAATCCCTAACAATACCAAGGGCGTTTTCATTGAAGGGATAGTAGAGGATTACGATGAGGATGGTGGTGAAGGCTCTGATCCACTAACTAGGTCGTTTCTTTGAAGACAACTTAAAGAGCAATCATGGCAATTTGAATAGGTATTCAGCCAAAAAGTAAAAAGCATACTTGAAGAGATGTGTGATAATAGCGCTACACAAAATAAATGGCTTGAACTATTGGTTAATAAAGTCCACAAAGGTGGACTCGCCGATCGTTCTTGACAACTTCCACTTAAGAACAATTTGTTACCAATGATACAGGACAAGACAGGACCTGTTTGGCTCAAAATGATCGACGTGGAAAAAAGAGAAGGATCAAGCAGTAGATTAGATGGATCCAACCAGAGAGCAGAAACTGCGTTTGTTGATGTGGTCGAAATCCAGTGATTGATTCGGCCTTAAAAAAAGGGCTGAAGTTTCCAAAATTCATTCATCCATATCCAGCCTTCGTGGAGAAACTAGAGTACCCCAAGGGATTTAGAATTCTGGACTTCATCCTTTTTGCTGGAGAATCATCCCTATCGTCGTTAGAACACGTAGCTCGATTCACTGCTCAGTGTGGGGACGTTGACAGTGACTTCCATAAGCTATGGTTGTTCAACTTCTCGCTAACTGGCTTAGCCTTCGCGTGGTATATCAACATCTCGCCCAACTCAGTCCAAAGTTAGGAGGAATTAGTCGAGAAGTTTCAGGAGCAGTTATATCGACCAAGGATGGACGTATTAGTATCTTCCTTGGCCAGGATGGCTCAAGCCTCTGATGAATCACTAATGGAATACCTTACGAGGTTTAAATCGACCAGAAACTGGTGTCGAGTACCTCTCCCTGAAGTAGAGTTCATTAGGCTCGCTCTAAACTGCCTGGATATAGAGTACAAAAAGAAACTCTTGCAGGCAAACTTCTGAGATATGTATGAACTAGCTCAAAATGTCGAGCAATATGATTATTTGCTCTACGAAGAGAAGAGTCCTAATACGCCATAGATGCGGCCGAGATAGTGATTGACAAACCATATGTATGCAAGGTGTTGGCTCACGCTATCTCCAAAAATGTCAAAACCCGCTCGACCCCTGTGGAAACTGCCATTAAAATATCAAAGGTTTACACCTTTGACATCACCAAGGTCGATGCCATTTTCGACCAGTTACTGCTCACGAAAATTATCAAGCTTCGGCCAGGGCATAACATTCCCAAAGCTGAAGATTTAAAAAGAAAACTTATTGCAAATATCACAACTCGAACAAACTTACGACAAACAACTGTGTCGTATTTCGCGATGCCATCCAAAGCTATATTGATAATGGCAAGCTCAAATTTCATGAAAAACAAATGGTAGTTGACACTGATCCTTTCCTTGCGGTGACGGTAAGCATGGTAGATGCTCATCTACCCAAAAACAAAGGAAAAGGGAAGGCCGAGTTTATTCCAATGCAATTCATCTCAAAGCAAAACTCTCGGCCACGATTGAAGATTGATTTGTTTTCAAATGAGCCGCCCAACACTTTTTCAGGACCGACTATCGTCTAGTCTATGTTAGACTCCAGCACAGAGGAAACGGA